TGACACACAAGTCAGAGCGGTGACGAAACAGCCACACAAACAATGGAGTTGAAATGGCGTTTACACACAAGCAGTGTCCCCTTTAATGACCTGAGGTCTGTTATAAAGCGCCTAAAGCGGATCCATTGGGAGGGTTAAATAAGGAGATAAAACGTTGGTGTCTTTTGTATTGATCTCTGACATAAAAAAAGAAAAAAAACAACCCATCACCACCACCCTTCATGATGAGACCCAGGGGAAAGGGTTTAGTCTCCATAGTAAATCTCGTGTGTGTGTGTTTTGTGTATAGGCCTATTTCATGTGTGTGCATAACTTAAGGAAAGCCATATCTCCTACCTGTACTCTCTCCTTAGCCTCTTACGTTATGCGGTGGCCCTCTTCGCTCGACGGCGACGACGCTTTGTACGATTTGTCAAAAAAAAACCCGCAACAACTTTTAGTGAATAAGAAAGGCTGTATTTTTATATTCTCGACTCGAGTTTGCGAGTCTCCCTTTTTGCTACCCCCCCCTCTCTCTCCCCCTCCTCCCCCCTTTGGGAGGCAAAGCGGGGCGGCTTAGCTTTTTTTGTTTTGGTTTTTTTTGTGTTTTGTAAGTAGATATTTTTCTGACTGAATTGCTTTGTTTTGCTATATACACTTGGGTGAAATCTGTGCAAATAAAAAAAAATACATTTGCTTCTTCAATCGCTTGTTTGTAATGACACCGTTCGGCTGTAATGTGGCGCTAATGGCGAGTAAGCAAAAACAAAAAACAAAAAAAAGGTAGGCCTACATAAAAAAACAAAAAACGAGCTAAAGAAAACAATCCTCTAAAAATATAACCCAGAATACTTTTATTGCCATTTATGTCGCAGGGCAAAAGGTTTCACAATATTATTTGAAAATCACACTAATTGTACAGATTGCAAGTATGTGTCACAACACTTTGGCGTCGCTTCTGCATAGAGAGTTGCAGCAGAGGTGGGGAGGATTGTCCTTTCCAACTCCTACATGTACAGCCTGGTACCTCCACCATGATGAACACATGCCACCATCTAGGACTGCTTTCGTGTTTTTTCTTCTCAAAAAGTAAAAGAAAAACAATTTTTTTTTGTCAAGATAGGTCAAAGTGGATATTGACAGCATTTGTTGTTGTTGTTTTTGTTGTTTCAAGTTTGACACTGAAGCTGAGATACAGTACACACACGCATCATTCTTTCTTTAAAATATAGTGGCAAATAAAATAATAGAAAAATTACAAACTGGCAAAAAAAAAAAAAAAAGATACAAAGTATACAAAGTTCCCAGGTTAGAAAATGGTTATGTGTTATAAATATTGCAGAGGCTGTTGGACAGTGCAGCAACGTAGGAGTGTTGAGATGGTAAAATGTTAAGTTAGCACCAGACAGTTAAGGTACATCTGGCCATGGTTTGCATAGATGTATTTGACATTAAAAGTCAACACCCAAAAAACTGAGGGAAAACAATTCAATGTTATTATCCGTTCTAAGATTCAACATGCGTCAGGTTATAGTGTCTTTTCCTCCGGTTAGAAAGCCAAGAGAAAGCCGTTAAACTTAATTTAATTAATGATTTGATTGGTTGCCAGTGTTCATCAGATTAAAAAACACTGCAATGGCAATTTTGTTTTTTATGTTTTTTTTTTCTTGTTGAGCAATACAAAGTCACCAGCACTTTTATGACTTCAATCTAGGATTGTAAGTGAATAAACTATTTGGTTTGGCAGCCTTGACGCTATTTTGTAAGCACAACAAAACATTAAAACATCTACATTTCACTTAAAAATATACAATTTAATTTTCAAGAAGCGAGTTTGATAATATTGGTTTTCAGCATTGAGACAATACAAAAGACAGACAAACACAACAATACAACCTAGTAAAAATGTCACCTTTTTTTGCAATCTGGATTCAAGACTGCATTTCCTTTGTACAGCGTGAGAGATGGTATGATGTAGCACCTTTTTTTTCTTCGAGAAAAAAAAAATCTGGGAAAGTGACGGACGACCTGATGGATATTAGTTTTGATGAGGTTTACCTGTGTGTGCCACACAGGTAAAGTGTGTGTGTGTGTGTGTGTGTGTGTGACATCACTGCCTTCACACTGCTAAGGTCATGTGCAGATGTACCTTTAGGATGGCTACTGTGTATCAAGTTGGGTCTCAACATCATTAGGAGACGAATGCAACCAGGAACCGTTAAGCTCACACCTTCGACATCCAGATCATAGTGAAATACATCAAGTAAACGTTATGTAGTGTTATTGTCAAACTGCAAACGACTGACGAACCACAGCATCTAGAATCGCTAAAGAAAAAAGCTAATTCCGGAAGACTTTGGGGTAATAAAAAAAACAAAACGATGAATCATAAAAATGATTTTACTCCCCCTTAGTCAAATCCTTTATTTGACATAAACAGAACTTTGACCTGAGACTGTTGGTCTTCCTGGACATTGTAGATGCTGAGGGACTACAACGCCCTCTTTTGTTTGGAGGGAGCATCACAACCTAGTTTCCGTGATAGACATGAATCACTGATGCAGCCAAACATGACAGACACACACACACACACACACACACACATGCGCACACACATGCACACACACACACGCACACACACACAGACACACACACACACACGCACACACGCACACGCACACGCACACACACACACACACACACACCCCTCTACTTAAATCAACCATCGCTAAAAACAAACATCATTACAGGCCGGCATTTTCTCATCTGGAAACTAATTGGTATATTAGCATTAACGGACGGTGTAGTAAAATCGGGGGGAAAAAAATGCTGTGTACATGTTGCAGTCCTTCGTGAACATTTTTTTTTTGTGTAAAAAGCGGTACAAATACATTAAATGACAAAACTACAATACTGAGTAGGGAGAGACTTGACAGAGCTTGTTACCCAGTGTTTTGATATTTACCTGGATTACAGAGAGGCCATAGTGCTGACACCGCCTTGTGCTCAACGACAGCACACACACACACACACACACACACACCGAGCACACACACCAACACGGAGCACGCGACGGCATCAGAGCCCTCGGGATCACTGCTATATTGCGTTGTATCTCGCACGCGCTGTTGTTGTGTCAACATTTTGGCCACTCTCAGCTTCCTTCCTCAGCTACTCATCCTTGTGTGTGTGTGTGTGTGTGTGTGTGTGTGATTCCTCTCCATTTGACTCTAGAAGCGCTTCGTACACCTGCGGGCCGCCCTGTCTGGTCAGCTGTTTTGTGTAAAGTCTGACACAACGAGAAAAAAAAGGGGGGAGGGGTGTGGTCTAAATACTGACCACCTCTCTGTCATCAACTCCGCTGGCCGGGTTCTAAACACAGCACCAGTTTTGGGTCGGGGGGGGGGGGGGGGGGGGGGTCGGGTCAGGGGTCAGTGGGGGAGTGGACGGGGCGAGAAGTGTCGTCATGGGAACAAACAATAAAACATCAGACATCAGTTAAAATAAACAGTAACAAAGTGGTGGTAGGAGTCGGGCTGCTCGACTTTGTCTTTCATAGCCCTTTGTCCCCCCCCCCCTCTCCGAACGGTGGATCCGGTCTGGTTGGGTCGGTGGGCTGCAGGGTTTGGGATTGGGGGTGGGGTTGGGGGGGGGGGGGGGTTTACTGGATAAATGGGTCAGGTTAAAGGTCAAAGGACTAAGGCATGGGCGGCGGTGGCGGTGAGTTGGGTTGGGTTGGGGGGGGGGGGGGGGGTGGAGGTGAGGGTGGTGGTGAGGTGTGGGGGTAAAGGGGTATGGGGGGGGGGGGGGGGGGGGGGGGGGGTTCAGGGATCAGTCCGGGGCACACGGTCAACTCAGTGCAGGTGAATGTGGAGCTTGATGCGCAGGGCGTCCCCTATCTCCCCCAGTAGGTAGTCGCTGTCGTGCTGGTTCTCCAGCTGACGCAGCTTGCGGGGCCCGAACAGCGGCAGGCTGGCGATCTCCAGGCGGTAGGAGCCGGCGGGCGGGGGCCGTCTGCCCAGCCGCAGCACGCTCTTGCCGTCGCGGCGCTCCGTCAGGCGGAAGTGCTCGTCGGCGTTGCCGTGGGAGATGACGTAGCGCACGTGGTGCTCCAGGGGCTGCAGGGCGGGCAGCAGCTCCAGCAGGGGCTCCTTGTTCAGCAGCGAGGCCAGGGTGAGGTTCATGGGGATGGAGGCCTGGGTGTCCACGCTGGCCATGCTCACCTCCTACAGTGGGTGGGGAAGCAGCGGAGATGAGACAGAGACAATACAAGGAACCTCGCCAGCATGGGTGTAAGAAAAGAGGATGCTTGGAATAATGGAAAATAACAGCTTTTTCCATTTAACTTTTAATCCAGATCTAAGCTTCATACTGATAGTAAATAATTATCCTGCTTTCTAAATGGTCCTAAAATGTTAGTGTTCAAAGCAAGGGCAAAATCGTGGGTCACACATTGGTCGGGAGTGTGGGGTCATCCAATCACATAAACCCTATGTTAACTTTTAACTTGAGCCAACCATCCGCAAAGTTGCTGGACGTTGGGCTGAAATATTGGGGGCGGGGACATGTCCCCCGGTCCCCCCTGGGAATTTCACCTCTGGTTCAAAGGTAATGACTGTAGGGGGTTAGGTTACAGTGAGGTTTTAGGGTGTGGGTAAGGTTACAGTAGGTTTTAGGGTGTGGGTAAGGTTTTAGTGTAGGATTATCGCACCTTTTCCAGATTGTTGTCTTCAGCGCCACGCCTATGTCTTCCGCTCTTTCCTCCTCCGTTGATCTTACACTCGTAGCAGGCCTCTGGAGACAGGCCCTCATCCTCCTCACCTTCCCCAGCAAACTGGCCCGGGAATCCTGCCCCAGTGATGCAATGGCTGGACACACACACACACACACACACACACACAAAGGAATAAGTATGTTTTATAAATTCTATGTCTATCTTTAATCTCTAATTCATGGCGGATAATCATATACCATTTGGTCGACACTTTCATTCTGAAAATACTATACATTCTGAGCATGGATGGCCTCAGTGGGAATCAAACCCATAACCATGGCAGTATTAATACAATACTCTACCAACTGAGCTAGACAGCATCTCCAACTTCTAATTCACCAAAATTGTACAGAGGAATGAATAAATCTCATGATTAATTGTCAAACTGTCATTTATATGACGCCGTTTCACGGTCAACAACCCTTTGTAAAAGGGAATGGGACTGTTAACTGTAACTGTGTATCATGCATAGTATACATTCGACACCAGTGGTGTGTCCAGACTTATTTAGTAATTTAGTAAAAAAAACTAAAAACATTCAGCTAGACTTAGCATAGACGGCCAATCAAATTGTATGTTTTTTGAGGGTGGGGGGGGGGTGTGCCAACTCAGCCCTCCCCTGGGCACTCCTCCTCAACACCCCCTCCTCAACAAACTGTGCTGACTTACCCCTGTCCGGCCCTGTAGTATCCTCCAGGACAGCCACACAGGTATCCTCCGTCCGTGTTGGAGCAGCCGTAGCTGCAGGGGTTGCCCCCCATTGAGCACTCGTTCACGTCCTGGCAGCCGCCGGCGCCCTGCTCAAAGTCGAAGCCGGACGGACACACGCACTTGAAGCTGCCCAACGTGTTGTAGCAGGAGGCGGAGCCACACACCGACCCTCCCTGGCACTCGTTCTCATCTGATGAGGAGGAGGAGGAGGAGGAGGAGGAGGAGGAGGAGGAGGAGGAGGAGAAAAGGTGAGAGATAGTCTCGGCATGCAGCAATAAATTCACACATTTTTAAACATTATATTACATTCATTACATAAAATAATAATTTCATAATAATATAATTGTATTGCGATATAAATGTTATTGCTATATAAACATATGGATACACAATATAATATATATATAAATGCCCCACACTAAATACATTTATTTCAAACCCCCTTTGTGCCTTCGACTATCCGCAGACGGTGCTAACGATGATAACCAAAGGCACAGGTCCATGATCCCCTTGCATAAGTCAGTGAGCAGTTGCGTGTTGTTTACTATGATTCATGAGCACAGGGATCCATTTAAACCATTTAAATGCTACTCACCCACGCACTGGTTCCACTGGTAGTGCTGGACATAGCCCTGTGGGCAGCCGCAGCGGAAACCCCCAAGCATGTTCTGACAGCCGTGCTGACAGCGATGGTTACTGCCGCACTCGTCCACATCTGAGGAAACCAACCGACAAAAGCTGTTGGCTAACTTGCAAATGCATGGTAGGACTGGGACGCATACATCACCCACACACACCTTCACACACCCTACTACTTGAGACACCGAAAACACAAAACAACGTCGCTCTGTGATTTGAATTTTAACAGCTTTCTTCATGACGAGAAAGCCTTCCTCTCTCTGTCCTAAAGCCAACATGAATCCGTTACAGTTACAGTGACAGTGTTTTGTCAGCATAACATTCTTCACAGTCACTATGTGATTTGAAGTGACAGCCATTCATGACAAAAAAATGCATACTCTATATCGCCATCCGTTACAGTTACAGTCAGCGTTCAGTAGCCTATACCTTCACATTCTTCAGTTCACAGTCATTCTATGATTTGAACTCGAAACAGCCATTCCTGACAAAAAAGCCTTCTGCTCTCTCTATATACCATGCAGTCTGCATTACATCTACTACAGATACGGTCTTATGTTGCAGTTTATGTTAGCCATACCTTCACACTCCACACCAGTGGTGTCCAGAGAGAAGCCCTTGGAGCATTCGCAGTTGAAGCTGCCGGGGGTGTTGACGCAGGAGGCTCGCGTACCACACGCAGTGCTCTGCGCCGTGCACTCGTTGTTGTCTGCAGTGTGTGTGTGTGTGTGTGTGGGTGGGAGGGGGGGTACAAATAACAAGTTATGTCTATCTGTTCCACAGGAAAAAAAGGTGATATGAGTCATTACGGCGTCCATAGTGGAGGTAGTAACATGGTAGAATGATGAGCCTTGTCATCGTGCTTGGGAAATGCCCGACTCTAGAGCTATTTACATTCAAGGCTGTGTGCCGCTGCTCGCTATACTGTTTGGCAGTCAAGGTCATGTACTGGGAGCATATGGCTTGTGGTTTAGCTGGTGGGCAGAGGGACAAAATGCTTATGAAAGAAGGATATTGTGATTACTCAGGGAAGACCAGAAACATTGATGTGTATTTCCTGGAAAAAAACTGAAACCTCCATCTGCTCCCTTCCAAACAATGGCCAGACAGCTTGAAAGATCAACAGTAAATTAAGAACAAATTTCTTTAAAAAAAACCCAAAAAAACCCGACTTTTAAAAGCCTGGATCGAAGACGGTGCCAAAAGAAAGCCCGGCTTTTTTATACCCAGCTCATTAAACACCTGACCTTGTAAGAGATGCGATTCGCTAAAGCAAGACCTTCATCGCTCACAGCTCACAGAGCACCGTGTTGCAGGTGAAGCCGCGGCGGTGCTCAGCCCAGCTGCGCTACTCACCGATGCAAGCTGTCTGGTGCTGCGTGAAGCCAGGGGGACACTTGCAGGTGAAGCCTCCGATGGTGTTGACACACAGGAACTGGCAGTTGTGCTGCTTGGTCGAACACTCGTCCAGATCTGGAGGATGAGGGGGACGGGACATTTAGAGTGAATGAACCAGCAGACGGCAAGGGGCTGTCAAGGACTGTTGGGGGCTGCACTACCTGGTTTGTTAGGATGCACTTGTAAGATATTATTTTCTCAAATGATGATATGTTTCGGAGCCGATGTCTGAATCCAGTTATTAAAATAATATGTTCACGGATCATGGATTACTCCCGACTTTTTGAAACTAAACCACCGTTCTGAACATTTGGCTCGAATGGTTCACAGATTAAATGAGATAAGATTTGATCCACTGTGGTCCCACCTTTGCAGGTCTTTCCGTCCGGCTGCATGGTGTATCCTCTGGGGCAGGAGCACAGATAGCTGCCCTCCGTGTTCTTACACAGGAAGTTACATGGTTTGGGGGACTGGGCACACTCGTCCATATCTGAAACAAGAGAGGGGAAGACAAAGCAAACTATTCAGTGTGTATAAACCGGAAGGTTGTTTGAATTTTGTGCCATTATTTGACAGTTGTTGTGGTTTTTATTTGGGGTTGGGAAGGGAAGGGACATCTCGCCATAGGACCACCACAGGTACGAAATCAAACCTGGGTCGGTACAAGCCGTGTTGCCGAGACAACACATGTCGAAGAATATTGGGAGAAGGAGCGAGACGGCGCGAGGAGAATGGGGGTGAGGGGGTGGTGGGGGGGGGCATCGTTTGAACAGCACTCTAATGGTCCGTACCGACACAAGCTGTTCCAGTGTAGTCCGTCTTGTAGCCCACATTGCAGTGGCACCGGAAGGACCCAATGGTGTTGATACACTGGCCGTTCTTGCACAGGTCTGGCATCACCAGGCACTCGTTGATGTCTGGAGGATGTTTTAAAAACAGACGCATATATTTAAAACATATATATATATATATATAAAACATGGCAGGCACTTAACAAACCCAAAACATAAAACGTTCCCGGCGGGCTCATTGTCTCTTTGAATACCTTTAATGACTTCAGGGTGATAAGTGCACTGCTCTTTTTTCCACGTAATGCACTGTACCTTCTGCTAAATGAGACCATTAATTCAGAGCAATTTAGAGCAATCTAGACCTTTCTGTGTGATCTCTGCACAGGAGAAAGAACACATCATTATCTGGCTGAGGTTGACGTAAAGTCTCTTGAAATAGTTTTAGAATAATATAGTAAGCAAACACAGTCTCCTTCCACTATTTCCTCGTGGACACAAAAGTATATTGTTTTCCCTGCAACTTTATTAAAACCGTCCAGCCATCCAGCCTTGTGAACGCTGAAGGGCCCCTATTTTACCACCTGTTGATCTCTCTATCATACATCTGGGCGAACACTCCCACTTGTGATGTCACCAGTTAATCCATTTTGAAAATGATTTGCCATGAATCACCATCCCTCATACACATTGGTGCCCTTTCATTTGAAAGATGTAACACTTGAAGTCTCACCCCTGCCGTCGGTGGTGTACCCGGGTCCGAGTGGGCACATCCTCTTGTACTGGACGGTTCCGGGCAGGGGGCAGAGTTCACACTGGGATCCCCAGCCGCGGCCGATGTTACAGCAGCACTCGGACTTGGTTACACTGTTTCTGTTGGTGGACGACTGCTGGCACATCGTCTGCAGCACCTCCACGAAGCAGTAGCCCTGGCGGTTGTCTGAGTGGGGGCGGGGGGGCAGGAGGAGTTTGGTTAAGGAGGGGGGTTGGATTTAACTGAAAAACATTTATACTTATCAGATATGAATATGTCTATGTGTGTGTTTAAGTGTGGGTCTATCTGTATCTATACGTGTTAGTTTAAGTGTGGGTCTATCTGTATGTGTGTGTGTGTTTATATATGGGTCTATCAATCATCCTATGTATGTGTGTGTGTGTGTGTGTTTATGTGTGTGTGCGTTTGTATGTCCGCGCATGTGTGTGTCATGCAGATCTATCAATGTCTATGTGTGTATGTGTGTGTTTTACGTGTGATTATTTAAATCGAGTCCATTTGTCTTTGAGTATATCTGTGTGTGCGCTGCATTCTGACACAGACAGATGTCCGGCTCTCTTACCGATGCACTCGGTTCCGGTGGAGCTGGGTTCGAAGCCGTCGTTGCACTCGCAGCGGTAGCTCCCCACGGCGTTGACACAGCGGCCGTTCTTACAGATGCCCGGCTTGGCCCGACACTCGTTCAGATCTGTGAGCGAGGAGAGCGCACGGCCCGCCGAGCAGGAGAAGGCTGTTATTAGTGTGTGCATAATATTATCCGCTTGAAGGAAATAGTCTTGCAGTGGCGTTTAAAGTGTTCGCCCGACTTGAAAAATGATGGCTGTTAATGGACGATGCCTGACAGCTGAACAGACAGTCCCTGGGTTTTTAGTCAAATGTTGTTTTTTTTTACAGACGAAATATTCGTTTTAATGAAATTCTATAATTAAACCAAATTGATGGTCCAAAACGTTGCTGCTCAGTTACACTAATGGACTGAAATGGTCAGAACCCCATGTCGGA